TGTGTTAGTATACGTTTTTTTTTTTTCTACAGCGTCACTTAAAGGTGACAAATTTGATTCCAGGCATAGTAACTATAGCGTTTGATTTTTATGTTGTCCACTTTCCTCTTGCCTCGTTAATTCGTTCTATGAGGGCTAATCAGTTCTTGTGTAGTTATCATTATAGTCGTCCCCATGTGGGATGCAATTTTTCGTTATCTGAAGTTGCAGAAATTTTATTTTTTAAATGTCCTTGACTCCCAGGTCGACCCAGCCTTGAATGGGAACCAGATGGAGTATTGGGAAGTGAAGACGGCGGGCGTGATTCTGACCACATAACCCACCAAGTGCCGTTTGGTCTATAAATTAGAGGTCTAGTCCTCTATGCATAATACGCCCGAGGGAGTGGGAAAGGGCTCTTTAATCATTTTATTTAAAACCCATTTACACATATGTTCTTTCACTCCCGCAGGTCCAAGCCGCAAGCGAGGACGCCAGACCTACACCAGGTACCAAACCCTTGAACTGGAGAAGGAGTTCCACTATAACCGTTACCTCACTCGTCGGAGGAGGATCGAGATCGCTCACTCCCTCTGTCTGACAGAGAGACAGATCAAGATCTGGTTCCAGAACAGAAGGATGAAGTGGAAGAAGGAGTGCAGACAGTTGCAGGTCATCAATGGCGATTGCAGCATTGACAAGTTATTGAAACAAGTCAACACGATGAAAGACACACAAACACATGTTTGACATTTTGATTCTGCTTCTCCTTCGCGTTCACCGACTGTAAACTCTGACGGAAAGCTCTGGTTGTTCGTCCACCACCGGACTTTAGTCTTGTTGCGGAAACACATCAGTTTTACAGATCTAGCTTATTTATATGTAAATTGTTGGTTCCTTGGCTCTTCGACTTTAAAGGATGCTCCCCCATACCCCCAAATTTAGTCATCTCTTAAGACATGCTTGTTGGGGAAGGCAGTGGTTCTGTTCTTATTTTTTTCCACAATGGGAACCGGAACCCATAAGAGGAAACATGTAATTGATTTAAAAAAATCTTTTTAAACATTTGGGAGCCTAAGTGGCGGAGTGGTCAAACTGTTTGCCTAACCATGGGTGCAGTTTTTATGGAGATCTCAGGGGAAATCGTCTTTGGATCTCCATAGTTAGTGCTTTGTGTGATACTTTCAACAGGCAGGTAGTGGTTAAGCGAAGAGAGACTGATAAAATCTTGTGGATCTCGTGTAGTGGATCTTCTAGACATTTACTTTGACTGTGTCAATAAAATTCCGAGCCTTCGATGTTCATTGCTGCAAATATCTCCCGCCTCCGTTCATCTCTGTGATTTAAAAGTAGTTGCCTAACTATTACAGGAAGTGCAGATCTGACCCGATCAGATTCTGAGTGCAAAAGTATCCTCCCTTTGGTTATAATTATGACTTAGGTTATTTGAGCTATTTAAAAATGGCCCAATTGCTGGCCACCAGTTAGCCATGGACAGAACTCTTGCAGTGTTGATGCAAGTAAAAGAGACTGGCCCAAATATTGTCCCCACCGAAGACGAAGTCGTCTACCGGCCAGCAAATGGGCGACCCAATCGCCGATATTAAACGAAGTAGAATTAATAGGAGTTTTTACAAAATGTTTTCGTGGTTTTTATAGGAAAATTTACGCTCAGTAGTTTGCCATTACTTTCTAAAAGGTCGGCTTTCGGTACCACTGTCGAAACCAAAGCAATACGGCCTGCTAGCAAATTCACCACAATCTGGGATTGAACCGGGGTACCCGGCTTTACGAGGCGCATAAGCTACAGACACCGACTCTAATTAATCGGCCTTATCTTTCTAGTTGGTGACTGCAAGGGTTAGCAAGTCTGGTTGCAGTTTTCTTGGTCTGCCTTGCGGTCAGTGTTCTTCGTGATTTTTTAACCCGCGGCCCAAAAAAACAAGGAGAGAATTGTTTAACAGCAATCCTGACACTTAATGAAACACAGGTACGAACACAGATATAGACAGTAGGTTATTAGTTAACTCCGATGTCTTAAAATTAAAAGCGGCTGATGATTGAAGCGTTGTTTATGATAAACGAAACGCTGCAATAACATTTATTTTATTTATATGTTTGGTTTTATTAATTGTATGACTGATAGGTGTCTGAGAAAGATTAGGAGTGACAGGAAGAGATCAAATCAGGAATGAGGTCCTACGAGGTAGAGTCAACACAGAATCAATTCTAGATTACATACAAAGATAGCAAATAAAATGGTTTGCCAGCTGGGAGAGAATGTCTTTTGTTGCTATACCAAGCAAGGCAGATATTAAAAGAGGAGAAGGACACCGCCCCGTTATATGATTGGGCAGAAATATTTTTGGCGGGCCCTTGGACTGTTCAGTGGGCCGCCCAGTGGGCCGCAACCCATGGGTTGAAGAATAATGCTCTAACTGCATTCGGCTATACTGTGCGTGTTGTTACTCTCTCTCTCTCTCTCTCTCTCTCTCTCTCTCTCTCTCTCTCTCTCTCTCTCTCTATCACTCACTCTCTATCTTTTCTCTTTCTCTCTCTCTCTCTCTCTTTCACAGTGTATCTCTCTATCCATCTATATATCTGTCTCTCGCTCTTTCTCTCTTTCGCTTTCGCTCTCTTTTTCTCCTTCTCTCCCTTTTATCTCTATCTCCCACTCTCTCTCACTCTCTATCTATTTACACACCGATCTCTCGGTCTCTCTCTCTTTCTGCCCCCCCCCCACCCCCGTCTGTGTGTGTGTGTGTTATGTTTAATTCTCTTCTTTAGTCTTAAACCTGAATGTTTTACGTTTCGCAGATCTGCTTACTTCTATGCAGACTAATGGTTCATTGTCTCTCAGGCAGATTCACTTCAAAGGAAGCTCCCAATTATACGACTCCTACGACATGCTGTTGGGGAGGCACTGGGTCTATTCTTGTTCTGTCCACAGCTGGGCCCTGAAACTAACAAAGGGATTAATACCTGTTGAAAAAAAAGTCAATTCTTGTCCGTCTGATGAAACAATCCTGAATTTTTTGTTAAAGGCATGACCATTTGAGGAAACGATGGGGGGGGGGGGGGGGGGGAGGTGAGAAAGGGGGGGGGGGGTGCGTTTGGATGCAAATTCAAAATCAAGCCTTTCTGACTGACAAGATAGCGATTAGCCACTCCGACGCAGAAGCTCTCAAAACAGATATTTCCCTTTTTTTTTTTTTTAAGTATCCAGAAACCATGAGTTGTTACCCTTTGGCTCGGAGGTATGGATATCGCAACCCTTTGGCCTTGATTCCATGATAGGCACCGTAAATCTGGAAGAAATGTGGCTTCTTTGCCTATTCCCCGGGCGTGAACCCGGACCACAAGGAGTTCGTTACCCGGTTGCCGCGCAGTCCTGTTTAGCCAACTGCGCTAGCGAGCCTGCTATAAGATGTTCAATGAAAAGGAAGGCAAAGGTTCCAAAACAACTTATCAAAAAGAAACAATTTTTATTATTATTATTATTATTATTACTACTATTATCATTTTTTCAGGGTCATGTTTTGAGAGAAAGATATTTCAGATATGTTGGCCCCTTGCCTTTAAGCATTCACACTCCCACTTTAAAGAAAACACTCATAATTATTTGCCTTCTACGACATGCTTGAGAGAAGTCACTTCTGTGTTCTCCAAAATAAAGCCCAGGAACCCACACAGAGAGCATAACGGTTTGATTCTCATCGTTGAGACGTTAATCTTACAGACTACAATTCTGAAGGACATTTGAACAAAAAAGCCCCAAAACAGATGCATTTACTTACTTACTTACTTAGTCGCGGCACTCTTCGACCTTAGGGTGTATTATTTGTTTGCGAAAAACATCCCGAGGAGCGTCAAGAGGTTATTACTGTATAACAACAGTTAGGCCCCCATCATCAGTTTCCACTTGTCGTTACACCCGAAGGTAGAATGTTTTGACTAAGCTAAGCGCAGTACGAGGAATAGTTCCCGAACCATTGAAGACTGTCAGGTTTTAATTTTGATCCAACCTGAACTTTGGGGGGGAGTAGTTTTCAATGCATTATAGCGTCGACTTGGGGGGTGTGTGGTGATAGTTTTTGATGTGTTCACAGTAACTGGGTGTGCCGTGTGGGTGGGTGTGTGTTTTCTTTGAATAATTTGGGACCGGATATTGCCCTTAATATTCTTCTACCTTGGGGTTAGAGGAATATTTCGCCAGGCTTCTCTATCAGCAGTTTACAGATCCATTCACACCCAAGTAAATACTAACTAATCCATACGTTCTTACTCCAACCTGGACTTCAGGTTTTACTTTGTACCTGAACTTTAGACAACACCATCTCGTCGGCTTTGTGTGAGTGTGTGTGTGTTTTTTTTCCCCTTCTTGATATTCTTAATATTCATATTGTTATATGAATATTTCATGTTTATGGATAAAATACAACTGCTGTGTGAAAGATGTGTGTTTGGAGGGGCCGAATGTAAGACGGGCCTGCGTGCCCAATTTGTGGTAGTAAACCACCCCAGAACTTCCGATAGTATAAGGGTTTGATTTGTTTTGGTTTGAACAACAGATCAAAATTATGGCACGCGAGTGGTAACCCATAACTGCTCTGTTCTACTTCTAACTCAAACCTGAGCCCAAAGAATCTTATCGCAGTGCACGAACTCCGTAGCACCGGCGAGGATCCTGGAATATTTTGGGTAGATTTTAAACTCAAAATTTTGCACGATTGCCGGAGAAGCGCCCTTAGGCTACTCTTTAATATTTCCACTGACAGGGGATTTTTGTTTTGTTTAAGTGCGTAACAATACACGTCCGATCTTACTACCCAGAGACCGGTGGAAATTACTAGAAGTCCTAGCCTTCACCAGGGTGTGAACCCTGGGCCTCAAGCACTCGACGCAGACGCCATGCATCGAGAATAGTATAAGGAGATTGGGGTTAGTGAGTATCCTTTACAGGACGTTGCAGAACCAGCCCCGACAGCACCTGGCTGTTGTGCGGTTTTTCTAGGCAAATTAACGACCAGTATTTTGGTTTTGCTTTCTAGCCGGTCGGCTTTATTGATAACACTGTCGAAACCAATGCAAGGCGCATGGCCCTCAGCTGGGATCGAACCCGGCTTCCCGGCATTACGAAGCGTTCGCAGCGACATAGCCACAGAGCCGACTAGTTAGTAGTAGTTACACATTTAAAACCAGCCCTAACCCTAACCCTCCCCCCCCACCCCCACAATATGGTGCTGCCAAAGCTGTCTCCAATCCCCTTGAGAAGGTTTTGGTATTACTGCAGGAGATTCTCGGAATTCCCCACGAAATCTCGAAGCCCACGAGATGGGGTCTTCTAAAATTTAAGTACCTTTCCTTAATTTGGTGTAGTAGCTAAAGGTGCTCACAATATAAATGTTGAGTTGAATTCAGAATTGACATCACAGCACGCAGGGCATTTCCATGCGTGCTCCGTCCTCATCTTTAGCAGACAGTGCAGAGTTCCAATACTGATGGTACTGGTCACAATCTTGTTAAATGTCCGTCTTGCCTTTCCTCTGAGTGAGTAAGCCGGCCAGACCCTCTGGTTACACCCAGGTGCCTCATTCTCTCCAGGCCATAATAATCTTCCTTCTCTACTGATTCCGTTGCTTGTTCCCAAAGGGCCTTGACCACATCTACCTTGTCATGTATCAATTCACCACCCAGTGGTGTAGATCCAGCCA